AGATGGCGACGTTGGAGTAACAGGGATGCTTGTCACAGACAAGCACCCCTCGGTATGCATCTGGGAGATCATCCGTACCCAGACGCAGATCTAACCAACTAGGAGGTGGCAGACGGTCAAAGACGAACGCCGAGTCAACCATGCCGAGCTAGGGCTGCCACAAAGTCAACATTGACAGTGGAGAGAGTCTCCGACAGGGTGGCATGGTGGGCGTGCCCACTATTGCGCGCGTTGTCAATGGTCCGCTGTTTGCCATCTAGCTGGATATCGAGAGCCGTTCCACTGCACGCCATCCGCCTTCGTCAACGACGTCATCCGTCTCCTTCATGCTTCGCAACGTGCTCATCCAAAGTGATCTGGTAAAAATGCTCACTGTGCAAAGGTGGTCTACTGCGCACCAACCGTTGGACATCGGCAGCTGCGGGGCACCCAGCCACTCAGACAAGCCTGCTTTGCCCGCCTGTCTCACGGGGCGGAAGACACCTGAGTGGGTCATAGAGCCCACAATAGGGCAACCCCGAACCAGTGGCTGGGCCAGGGAAAAGTCGGGCCACCCATCAAAAAACCAGGACAGCTGCCAGAGCGGGTTTCTTGCTTTGGTCAATCTGCGAAGCGACCTTGCGTCGGAAGGCTTCTTCCAATAGTATCAAAGCTGTAGCCACTGTGCGCGAGACCTGTCGCAATTTGGTAGTATACTTCAGGAGAAACCTCAGCCACACGGACAACGCCTCAACAACAAAAACCGATGTCCGATGCAGGCCAATCCCTGGGGCAGAAAAGGGGTCGGCAGCTCAGCAGAGGCTGCCTTATGACCCTCCTCCCCCAACCCCCCGGAACCAACAAGTGAACAAGGCCCCTAGCGGACGAGCTCGCATAGCGCTGGCCTGATGAACCCTCATAAATGTCTGTGCGTTGGCATCCCCAAATAGGAACCTCTTGGCTCAAATGTCGCCATGCCGGGTAGGCCTGCAAGGTTGACAGGTCACACGAACGCAGTCGTGGACGAAACATAAACCATGACTCAGCATCCAAATATGGGAACACAACCCCCACGCGCGATACCACCTCCGCTGCTTGAGGCATCCCGCAGGTGACTTGGTGCCCAGACCGAGTGGTACAGCCTGGGCTGAAGAGCCAAATCATCACGGCCCGAGAGCTGGGAGGGGAGCTTGGTGGGGAACACACTGGGTAACAAGGTCGCGAGGGCAACAAAACATGGGACATGGAAACCGTGACCAAACACGGAAAACTTGACCTGGGTACGTCGTGCCGGTGACCCTCGTACTGGTACAACCAGATCCAGAGGGATCCCCAAGAGTTGGCACCGTTCCGAAGGGCGCCATGTCCGCCAACTAGACCCCGACCAGAGCAAGGGGGATTCCGCC